GAAAGAAAACAGGATCCCCGCGTACTCTCTAAGAAATCCCGCGCCCACAGGGAAATGGGTACAGAACCCATAACAAACTCCGCGGGCTGTCTGGGAAACACCTGCGCCTGCGACAAAAGCCACCGCGCCTGCGGCAAGGGCGCGGCAAATTCCCCTGCTCTCAAAGAGTAATTAGAGGGCCATGATCTCTCTAATATGAAGCGCTCTCTCCAATCTACCTGCGCCCGCGGGGAGCCTGCGAAGAGTTCCTGGTCGATTTTGGCTAATTTGGTGCAATCGAGCCCGCGCTCGCAGCCTTCAGGACCCGCGCCCGCGGCAACCTGGCAAGAGTTGATGCCCTCTCCAAGGCCTCTCCAAGCCCTCTCTGAGCCCTCTCCAAGCAGATTGCTTCCTCCTTGCTTAGTCAATATAGCTCATCTTAATCCCCTTGCAAAGACAACTCCTAGGTACCTACAAGAGCAAACAAAGGAAAGGAATTAAAGGGAAAAAGGGCCAAATAAAAGAAAAACATGAATAAAACATGAAAAACACAAAGAAAACATGAAAAACACAAAGAAAGAAGGAAAGAGAGGAACTAAAGGTAAAAGGACCAAAAATAAGAGAAGAAAGCATGAAAAAGGGATGAAATCATTTTAAAAGACTACTCTATGAGTGCCATAAATGACACTCATCACCAAACTCTAGCGATAAATGTGAGCTATAAATCAATGGTTTGTGTCAATGTAGACACACAATGCAATCTAGCATGAAGAACAAGGTTGATCACTCCTTCCAATCCATACACATGCACTAAATCAATCAACCAATTTAATCACAATGCTAAATCAATAAAAAACCTCCCAATTATCTAATAATCCATCACTAATACATGCTTTACCACATCCCTAGCAAGAAAAATACTCCTAATCCATTTACAAAAATAAAAAACAAAGTTATGCCATTCATCAAATTCATCAACATCATTTCAATTAAACTAATTCAATCAAACAATCAATAAACTTGAACGATCAACAAAACAATTGAAATCAAAATATAAAGATTGAATTAAAGAAAGGAAGATTCTTACAAACTTGATCAAATAAAAGGAAATGTACTTAAATTTAAACCAATTGCGACTATCATCAATCACCAATCATCATTCTTCAATACTTCTCTTACTACAAAATCTAAAATCTAGAGTTTCTCTCTCTAAGAATATCGAACCTAAATCTAATTCTAAACTCTCTAATTCTTCCTTCTATTTCTAAAAATTCATTCTCTCTCCAAAAATAAAAGAAGAGTCATTATATAGTAAAACTAACAAAGATAAATTAGTTAGATCGTCCAATTTAGACCCGTAAAGGCATAGTCCTCTTCAAGAGAATGCGCGGCCGTGCAAAATTGGGTAATGATGAGTGTCATTTATGGCACTCATTTGGTTCTTTTTAGGATGAATTTCATTCTATTCTATAGCTCTTTTACTTAGCTTTTCCTTAATATTACTCTTTATTTCTTTTAGTTTTCATTTTCTTTGTTGGATTTCTTTTTTTATGCATTTCTTGGTTTATTTTGTTATTTTCTATTTTATTTGCTTGTTTTCCTTTATTTTTCAGGTTAAGGTCGGTATCCAAGTTTCCCGAGGACTCTTCCCAAGCTTGGCATTAATTAGCATGTCTAGTGATCTCCATTTGAAGCTTAAGCATGGAGAAGTGCAAGTTCCTAAAGTCCTTGAACTATGCACTCAAGCCGTGGGGGCATAATTTCTAGTCTTGAACCTGCAAACATGGAGTTTAGAAACTGCAAGGTCCCCTGTTTATTAAGAGCATTAAGTGGATCGCGCAAGGAGCATCAGAATAATATGGAAGATGGCTGCCCTGTTCCCAGGTACGGGCGTGCGCAACTATGGCGCGGCTGTGCGGCTTGGTGGCTCGGGCGCGCCTTTCTCGGGAACGGGTGCGCTTCTCTCGAGCGCGGCGCGCCTTTTCAGGTCCTTGTTCCAAACCCAGATTTGCGGGGCCTCACTCTCTCTTATAGTTAGCTGTGCATGTTCGGGTTTATTTGAGGACGATCTAACTAATTTCTCTTAGTTAGTTTTACTATATATAGATTTTCTTTCTATTTTTAGAGAGAGTTCAATTTTTTAGAAATTAGAATAGAATTAGGTTAGATTTTTTGAGAGAGAAACTCTAGTTTATAGAGAGAGAAGTTCTTTATTGATGATTGAAGATTGATGATTCCAAGTGTTTTTCTCCATTGAATTGAAGCAAGTTTGTAAGGATTTCTTTACTTTAATACAATCTTTGTTTTGATCTCAATTTCTTTGTTAATTGTTCAAGTTGATTGATTTTTGAATTGATATATTTTTTATTAATAATATCATGATGAATTTGTTGCTTAGTTTAGTTTTGATAATGATTTCCATGAATAGTGAGTAGTTTCTTGCTAGGGAAATGGTGAAGCATATATGAGTGATTGATTTATGCTAATTGGGGGAAATTGATGGAGTTGATGTTGTGATTAAATTGGTTGATTGATTAAGTGCATGTGTGTGTTCAATTTAGGAGTAATCAACCTAAGTTTCTCATACTAGATTGCATTGTAGGTTCACATTGATACGGAAAATTGATTTGTGACTTACATTTGTCGATTGAGAAGGTTTGCAAGTTTTCTAGTTAGAGTCTCTCGTAGTTAGCGTTAGTTTGTCCTCTAGGAATTTAGTCTACCATATTCTCTTGATTGCTCAATCGATTTTCCCTCGTAACACTTGACTTAGTCATCTCCAATCCCAATTAGTTGAATTAATTACAAGTTTATGTGGATCCATACCCTAGTACTTGATAAGTTTGATTTTCATTTTGATTGTTTAATTGGTTGAATAGACACACTTCACCTCATTGCTTCGAAATAGCTTAACTTTGACTTTAGCATTCACCTCCCATTCCTAGTGGTTCGACCCTCGACTTACTCTATGCTTGGTATAGGGGTGTGTTGAAAGATTATAAATTGTGTTTTAACTAAGGGTAGATTAGTTTTCAACGACCTAGTCTCGCCTTAGATAAAAAGTGGCGCCATTGCCGGGGAATGGCGTAGATGATTGCTATTTTTGTTGCGTCTATTTCACCTTATTTGCAAAAATACAAAAAGATTTTCTTCTTTAGGCTTCATTTGTAGCCGTGCTACTAATACTTTTGTTTGAGATTGTGTGTGCAAGTAAACATGGGAGAAGCTCAAAGGGTTACATTGAAGAAGTTGGGCACTCCGGGTGCATACAAGTATGAGAGCGGGATTGCTCCATTATTAATCCCGGATAGTGACTTTGAAATCAAGCCGGAAATGATAACTTTAATTGAAAGGAGGCAATATAGTGGAGGAATTAATGAGAGCCCCCTAAATCATCTTAAGGAATTCGAGAAATATTGCAACACTATTAAGGTGAGCGGGATAGCTCAAGAATTCATAAGTATTAAGGATTTCCTTTTTCTCTAATTGGAAGAGCTCAAGAGTGGCTAGATAAGGAAGTGCATCCTAATTATTTGAGAACTTGGGATGAAGTCACCAAGGAATTCCTTTCTCGTTTCTTCCCTCAAAAGAAAACGGCGGAGGCAAGAGCTTTGATTCAAGGTTTCAAGCAAAAGTCTAGTAAAAGTATTTATGAAGCATGGGAGAGATACAAAGAGTAACAAGGTGAGTGTCCTCACCATGGGATCCCCACATACATAATCATTCAAATTTTTTATGGAAGTTTGAGTCCTAAAGGGAGAGCAAGTCTAGATGCCGGAGCCGGAGGCCCAATCATGAATAAGACCGAGGAAGAGGTTGTAGGTATCATTGAGGATGTAGTTAGAAACTACATGGAATGGAAAGATGGTGAGAAGGAGTCGATAAACAAGAGTAATACAATGGGATGCTCAATGGAACAACTAAATGCTATCAACAATTTGTCGACTCAAATTTCGGATTTAGGAAAGGAGGTAGTTTCTATCAAGTATAAGCTCAAGAGCGCGACCTCACAAGCACCAATTCTTCCCTCCCAAATTAAGGGGATGGGTACTTCTTTCTCTAAATTTCTTCCTTCTTCTTGTTGCATGATTAGAGAATGTTGGTTTTGTGATTTGTGTGGAATGAATGACCATGATGCTTCTTTTTGCCCTAATGTTCCTTGTAATGAATATGTTGGGAGTGAGAATGAACATGTGAACTTAGTTTCTAATAACAATGTTGGACCTAGATTTGATGCTCAAAGGAATGTTGGAAATAGGAATTATCACAACCAAATGAACTATGACAATTATAACCAAAATGGCGGTTATAGAAACCGTGGAATTCAAGGGAATTGTGGTAGCTATAACAACCATAGTTATAATGGTCAAAGTAATGGCCAAGGATATGTGGACTATAACCAAGGTTATGTTAACCATAATCACGATAGTGGCCAAAATCAATGTAGAGGTAATTGGAACAATCAAAGTAGGGGAAATTTCCAATCGAATGTTCAAAGAGATGCCCCACTTTGATTTGTTCCGAATACCCAAGAGCATAGTGATAATTTGTATGATTAATCATTTTCTTCTAGAAGTTTCTTGGAAAGTGTCATAGAGAAGCAAGCCAAATTGTTGGACACCTACATGACCCTAAGCAATGAGAAATTCAATGACATGTTAACTTGCCATAAGGGGTTGGAGACCCAAATTTCTCAATTGGCTAATGAGTTTAAGGAATTTAAAAATCTTTCTTCTTTGACTTCACAAAGCTTAGATCTTAAGAGCCCTATGAATGCTATTGTGACTAGAAGTGGTAGGGTCCTTAAGAGTGACATCTCTAAGAAGAGTGATGCTAAAGATAGTCCTAGCAATGGCTAAATTGAGAATGAGGGAGCTGAGAATACTTTAGTTTAGGAAGTCAATAAGGAACAAGTTGAGAAGGTGAAAGATAGAGAAAGAGAAGTTTACAAACCTAAGCTCCCTTACCCCCAAAAGTTTAATAGGCACAAGCTAGACGAGCAATTTGGGAACTTTATAGAGATGCTTAGTCAAGTTCATATTACTCTTCCTTTTAGCGATGTGATAGAACAAATGCTAAATTATGCAAAGTTCCTTAAGGAGATTTTGAGTGGAAAAAGGACATGTGATGTGGCTAAAATAGTTAACTTGACCAAGAATTGTAATGCAATAATAATGAACAAAATCCCACCCAAGTTGAAGGATCCCGGAAACTTTTTTATCTCTTGTGTTATTTATAAAATGCAAATTGATAATGCCTTGTGTGATCTAGGAGCTAGTGTTAGCATTATGCCATACTCGGTATATCACAGACTAGAGAAGGGAGAACTTTTACCTACCAACATTACCTTGAAATTAGCCGATAGATCAATTAGGATCCTAAGGGGCAAGGTAGAGGATGTTCCCTTAAGGGTAGGAAAGTTCATTATTTCGGTAGATTTTGTGGTCCTTGATAGAGATGAGGATTCTAAAATTCCTATTATTCTTGGTAGAACATTTCTTGCTACTTTGGGTGCTTTGATTGATGTCAAAAGTGCTAAGATCTCACTTATAATTGGAGATGAGGGAGTTGAATTTTATTTGAATGAAAGTATGAGATATCCTTCTTCATCTCTTGAGAATTTCATAAGAGTTGAAATGTTAGATAATCTTGTACATTCAATGCATGAGCACTTGCTCACAACTAATGATCCTCTAGATTGTGTTTTGTTCAACAAGGAAAAGATAGGTGCTCCTAGAAAGGACATGGCTTTGTATGAGAACTTTTTAGATGGAAGTGTTGAGGGAAGTGATGAGAAAATTTGCATGCAAATTTGTAAGCGGCTTCGATCAAGGAAGGTAAAGGTGTTCCTATGGTAGAGCCCAAACCTTTACCATCACACCCAAGGTATGAATTCTTAGACCCAAATTCTACTTACCCCATGATTGTTAGCGCATCTTTGAGTAAGATCCAAGCTCAAGCGTTATGCGGTGTTTTGAGAAAGCACCAAGGTGCTTTGGGTTATACCAATGATGACCTCAAAGGTATAAGCCCCGCTTTATGTACGCACCACATAACCCTTGAGGAGGGTGCCCTTCTTTCTATTGAACGACAACGGAAATTACATCCCCAAATGGGGGAGGTAGTGAAGAAAGAGACTACTAAGAATTTAGATGCTGGAATCATATTTCCCATCTCAAGCTCTAGATGGGTCTCACCTGTTCATGTCGTTCCAAAGAAGGGAGGCATGACCGTCGTCAAGAATGAAAAAGGTGTGCTTATGCCAACAAGGACGGTCACTAGTTGGTAGATGTGTATAGACTATAGACGTTTAAACACATACACTAAGAAAGATCAATTCCCCCTTCCTTTCATTGGTCAAATTCTTAAAATACTAACGAGGCACAAGTATTATTGTTTCCTTGATGGTTACTCGGGATTTTTATAAATTCCTATCTATCCCGATGACCAAGAGAAAACTACTTTTACTTGTCCCTATGGTACCTTTGCCTATAGGAGAATTCCATTCGGCCTTTGCAATGCTCCCGCCACTTTCCAACGGTGTATGATGAGGATCTTTGGAGATATGTCGGAGGAGGAGATGGAGGTGTTTATGGATTATTTTTCCATAGGTGGAGTTTCCTTTGAAGCATGCCTCAAAAATCTTGAAAAGTGTTTGGCAAGATGTGAGAAAGTGAATTTTGGTGTTGAATTAGGAATAATGCCATTTCATGGCTGAAGAAGGAATAGTCCTTGGCCACAAGATTTCCCACAAGGGCATAGAGGTTGACAAGGCAAAGATTGAGGTTATCAAAAAGTTGCCACCTCCGGTCAACGTGAAAGGTGTGAGATCATTTTTGGGCCATGCCGGTTTCTATAGAAGATTCATTAAAGATTTTTCACTTATTGCAAAGCCCCTCAATGATCTTCTTCAAAAGGATACCGAGTTTGTATTCGATTACAAGTGTTTAGAGGCATTTAATAAGTTGAAGAAAGCTTTAATCTCCACTCCAATTGTTCAAGCTCAAAGATGAGATTTGCCATTTGAGTAAGTGTGATGCAAGTGATACGGCTATTGGAGGAGTTTTAGGTCAAAGAGTTGATAAGAAACTTCATGTTATTTATTATTTTTCCAAGACTCTAAATGGAGCTCAACAGAATTACACTACAACGGAGGAGTTCTTGGCTATTGTTCATTACATTGAAAAATTTTGTTTCTATTTGTTGGGGTCCAAAAAAATTGTGTTCACCGATCATGCGACCCTAAAATACCTTTTCGTGTAGAAGGAATCAAAGCCAAGACTAATTCATTTGGTGTTAGAGCTTCAAACTTTTGACCTTGATATTAGATATAAGAAAGGAGCGAAGAATGTGGCAGCGGATAATCTATCTAGGCTTGAGGATTTTCAAGTTCAAGATGATGGGTCTCCCATTGAAGATAGAATGTTAGATGATTCTTTGTATGCTATAGATGTGAAGGAACTCCCATGGTTTGCCGATTTGGTGAACTGTCATGCTTGTAGGGAATTTCCTCCTTCATTTTCCAAGAATCAAAGAAAGAAGCTCAAAAGGGAGGCTAGGCATTATGTTAGGGATGAACCTATTTTCTATAAAAGGGGTGTTGATGGGTTGTTGAGGAGATGTGTTCCAAATGAGGAGTTTCCTAGTGTATTAAAGATATGTCACTCGGATCCGAGTGGGGGTCACATGGGTGTCTCAAAAAGGGCTTTGAAGGTGCTTCAATGCGGAATATGGTGGCCAAATCACTTCAAGAATGTTTCGGAGTTTGTCAAGAGTTGTGACCGATGCCAAAGGACCGGAAACATTTCAAAGAGAAGTGAAATGCCCCAATAACCCATTCTAAAGTTGGAGATTTTTGATGTATGGGGAATAGACTTCATGGGTCCTTTTTCGACTTCATATGGGAATCAATATATCCTTGTTGTCGTCGATTATGTGTAAAAATGGGTGGAAGCTAATGCCTCACCTACAAATGACCATAAGGTAGCAATGAAGATGTTCAAGAAGATAATCTTCCCAAGGTTTGGCATCCCAAAGCAAAATATTAGTGATAATGGATCTCATTTTGTGCATAGGGCCTTCCGTAAGATGTTGAAGAAACATGGAGTTAATCAACGTTTTGGGCTCCCCTACCACCCTCAAACTAGTGGGCAAGTAAAAGTGTCTAACCGTCAAATCAAATTGATTCTTGAGAAGACGGTAGCAAGAAATATGAAGGATTGGTCGGATAAGCTAGATGATGCCTTGTGGGCATACAAAACGACTTTTAAAACTCCTATTGGCACTACTCCTTACCGCTTGGTTTATGGGAAGTCTTGTCATCTTCCGGTCGAACTTGAGCATCGTACTCATTGGGCTATAAAGAAAATCAATTTTGATTTGGCAAGTGCGGGTGAGCAACGTTGGCTTGGTTTTCATGAGTTGGAAGAACTTCGATTGGATGCTTATGATTGTGTAAGCATGTACAAGACTCGCACTAAGGAAGTGCATGATAAACTCATTGTGAAGAAGGAGTTCAATGTTGGTGACAAGGTCCTCCTTTACAATTCTAGGATGAGATTATTTCCTAGGAAGCTAATGTCTCGTTGGAGTGGTCCTTTTGTTGTTCAAGAGGTTTTTCCTAATGGTGCGGTTGAAATATCTCCTTTGGATTTTCATGAACTTTCAAAGTCGATGGTCATAATATGACTCTTTTTGATCCACCTTGAAGGGTGGAGAACGTCAAGCTAATGACTTTAAACAAGGGCTTTTCAGGAGGCAACCCCAGTTTCTAACCAATTTCTCTATTTTCCTTGATTTTTGTTTTCTTTTTGTTGAATCTATTCTTATTTGATTTGTTTTCTTGATTGTGTTTTTAGGTGGTTTTGATTGGATATCCAACAATTTTGGTGCCCATATTGAAGAGAGAGTGCTTAAGTTGGTGAATTGGAAGTATGCTTAAAAGTTGAAGTTTGGTGGGTTCAAATGGTGGGGTCATAAAAATCTTGTGTTGAACCCACATTCTTGGGGTTTAGAAACTGCTTTCCTCCACCTTTATCATGAACATTTCCCTTGTACTCACCGATATTCTCACGAGAAGGGATTCGGAAGATGGCATACCCAGAAGGGCGCGGGTGTGGGAGACTAAGGCGCGGCCGCGCAGCCCTATTGCGCGGCCGCGCACCCCTTGCTGATGCCCCTTAAACGCACCGACCTTCTCTCTTTTTCTCTATCTTATTTTCATTTCATTTTTACTTGGTTATTGTTCAAGCATCCTCACCATTTTCCTTCATTATTTTACTGCTGAAATTTCACCGTTTTTCACTTCATCTAGTTTTTTATTACTCTTAATCCCTACTCTAACACTTTCATTGTGATTTTCTCTTTCCTAAAGTTGGGATTTTTGGGTACCCCTTTGGTTTGGGGTTTGTTGCTTGCAATTTGGCATAATTGTGTTTGCTAGTGCTTTGTGTTCCTTTTCTTTGTAAACTCTCATCAGTCTAAGGTATGATTTCTTCATTTCTATTGATACTTATGATAAATTTTCTACCTTGGTTGTTCATGAGTGTTTAGATTTATTTGGTTATGGCCTCATTAATGTATGCATATTGCCTACTATCTCCTTCATTTGTTGTGTCAATGATGAAATTTTTGTGATTATATGAACTTGTATTTGATGATTTTGCTTGACCATACTATTATTTTGGCACCACCTTTGTTGGAATTATAGTTTGATTATATTGATATGGGAATGTTAATGTGCATAGTTTGTTTTTAATGATGGTTTGGAGTGTTGTTGCTCATGATGCATACTTGTGACTCATAGTCTTTACTCACTAGAGCATTTTTCAATTATGTGTGTAGAATGGGTCCTCTCCGTCGAGCTAAGAGGGCTAGATGCTCTACCTATAGGGAGGTGGTTCCTCCGCCTTCCCATATTTAAGAGACTTATGGAATTGAGTTTACAAAGGAAGAGCATTGGGATAGATTTGCCAAGCTTTCAACTCAGACACTCTTTTCTACGGATTCTATGATTCGTCGGCGACAACTTCGTTTAGTATCGACGATGATGTGAGATTTTTGGATCGAAACTTGGGGTTAGAGGAATTCTTAAGCCTTCATGCTCCAACTTAATCTCGCATTACTTTCGAATTCCTTTCTTCTCTTGAGGTCCTTGAGGAGGATTTGGAAGGTGAAACTTCTCGAAGAATTTCTTTTCAACTTTTCAACAATGATCATTCGGTGCCTCTTTCCTATCTTAATGAGGTTTTCAAGTTTCCAACTCCTAGTGAGGATGTCCCACTTGTGTATTCGGTATTTGATGTTGTGCAACGTGATAACAATTATAGTGAATTCAACTGGTGGAGGCATATTTCTGTCGAGGACTCATATAGTCCTTATTATTCAAAGGCGGCGTCGATTATTCATGCGGACTTGAGGTATTTTAGCCAACTCCTTACATATGTTTTCTTCTCTAAGGATTCCATTGGTGCTATTTGTCGAGAGGAGTTGAGTTTGTTATGGCTAGCAGATAAGCCATTTGAAGAGGGGGTAGCGGTAATCGACTTCACTTTGCATTTCTCGACCGTTTCATTGATATAAGAGATGGTGTCCATCCCTCCGGTCGTATCCAATTGGGAGGGGGTATGATTACCATTTTGATCCTTTCTCTTAACAAGAAGTATAAGCAATGCTCGAGTCGCTTGTCCCAATCCATGATAAAAGGGAGAAAGCTCCTTACCATTTCTTAAGCATCTATGCCATGATGAATCAACGTTTTTTGGAGCGCACCACCAAAGCAAACTTGTATATTTGGAAAGTTACAAGGACTACGGATTGGTGCCCTATCCCTCATCCCGAGGATATGGTTATATATGTG